ATGTATATAAGACACTAGTGACTACAAGAACACACCACGTTCTTCAACATTAAGTTTTCTTATGTATATAAGACACTAGTGACTACAAGAACACACCACGTTCTTCAACATTAAGTTTTCTTATGGATATAAGACACTAGTGGCTACAAGAACTTACCTTCATTTTCTATATTTGCTGGTGGTTCGTAAAAAGCAAGACCTAGTGATATAAAGGCAGCAACTTGTAAAATAATGAGGGTTACATCTTGAAGTGCTTCCCATACTAGCTGTAAGAATGTTTTTGGAGGTTTTGGTGGGATGACATTGGGACCAAAGGTTTCCCGCCTATGTTCGAGGTCTGCTGCTGAACCACTTAAACCTACATCAAAGAATAGTACAAATCTAGATACTCATTATACATTTTGTAGACAGGATTTTCCCCATTAGTATCCACAACGAGGTGTAACTATAGATACAACAAGAACATTTAAAATACTGTTCACATTGTTTAAAGTAAAACTTTCAAATAAAACAAATATTGCAAGTTTCCAGAATATTGTCTCGATATGTTGTTTTCATTTCTCAACTGTTTGAGCTTTATATTTTTACTTTAATATTATTTATGCAAAAAAAAAATACAATACACATCTTAGTGGTGTAAAAAGAAACAAATCTCTCGGAAACTGTGAATACAATTGACCTTGCTTGACCCTTAAGGTCAGATAACAATTGACCTTGCTTGACCCTGAAGGTCAGAAAAATATTCTCCAAGTTTTGTTACAAAAGTAGTAATTAATCACTTACCAAGAAGTAGATTTGTAGTATCAAGTGTCAAATACACAGAGAGAATGTTACAATCACAACAGCAAGTGTCATTGGCTAGTCACACGCCTAATAAACATGACATGTTTATTTATAGATTTATGTTTTAAGAATTCCATTAGGTACATACTTCAGAGAGAATTGTATGATATTTAGAACTACTGAACACATATAACAAAACACACAAGTCAAGCCAGAAAGTAGAAAACAAAGTGTACCAATCTGTAATGATGTTAAAAAAGTTAATACTCTTAACTTGTTTTTGTTCAGACCTAGTATTTCATACTCTGTACTTTATATGAGTGTTTAACCTGTAAGAAACATGTTATTTGGTTTAAGATACTCTATATAACAAGAAGGTCAAAACTACAAACAAACACCGAGTTGCTAAAAGTTTTTTAAAAATTATTTAGGGATAAGTTTTTAAAAATTTTAAGTAACTCAGTTTTTGCAGTTTTGACTTTCTTGTTTCAAATTTTTTTATAGCATTAAAACTTTATATATATCACTAGCTAGGTTACATATATATATATATATCGATCCCTACTTGACTTTATAAAACTTAAAATGTTTTTATTACACTTGTTTGTTTCCTTTTTATCAACTATACTTTTGTGTGCCAGCAATACCAAGCGTGGGGCGGGTGTATGACCGATTCGTTTTTATTACTCATCAGGATCTCTACCCATCTACCCTCAAATCTAATTGCACAAAGTAGTGCATCTTCCATCTGATATATACTAGTATCCTTTTCGGTACAAGACAGGAATTATTGGGACCCCAGATCGCACAGTTCTGTGAAAATATTAGAACGACATGGTTCATTTTTTCTGTACTCTTGTCTGGAAAGTCACTTACTTACTTACTTAGATGAAAATATTAGAACGACATGGTTCATTTTTTCTGTACTCTTGTCTGGAAAGTCACTTACTTACTTACTTAGATGAAAATATTAGAACGACATGGTTCATTTTTTCTGTACTCTTGTCTGGAAAGTCACTTACTTACTTACTTAGATGAAAATATTAGAACGACATGGTTCATTTTTTCTGTACTCTTGTCTGGAAAGTCACTTACTTACTTACTTAGATGAAGATTCATTGTAATAGTGAAATTTTGATCCACTCCATAAATATGGCGATTTAGGAGGCTCTATACGTACAAAAAGCTTTAGTTTTGTTCAACCGATACTGTGAAATAGTCATTGTTAATATTCACACATATTAAAGGTGGTTTTAAATGGGCAATTTTTATGGCCATCATTGTGTTTCATCACGATCCCTACTATTCTCTCTCTGTTCAGAAACCTAATGTTTTTTTGGTTTTTGTTTTTATGTTCCTAGTATAAGGGTTTCGAAGTACATCTCAAATTATCCAGGTTTTGTTTGATCAATGTTGGGAAATATATTTCTTCATTTAAACTTATTGTGTGTAAGGCCATTCACTACATGATAAGAAGATAATGGTTTCAAACTTCCGAGGGCATACAGAGAGTAAATGTCATTTTGAAATTCTTTAAACCGATATTTTGTTCTACTATGTATGAAGCTTAAGTAACAAAAAAAAGAACACAATTTCTAAAAGACTGATCCTTGTAAACAACGATGGTTGTACATTTTGAGGTGGGCTTTCAATGAGATCATATTTCATTTGCATCTTTTATATCTACGTGATAAAAACATAAACAACTCGCCCTCTGTTGGTGATGTATACAACTTCCTACAAATTTCCTGTACACTTCCGTATCTTCCTATGATTGTTTCAATGGCCTCAAAACCTCTGGTTTCCATAAGTTCCTGAAGCTCCTTACATGCAAGGCCATACTGAGTAGGCCTTCCATCTGTAGCTCCTTCCATCACACAACAATTAGTCTGCAAAAAACAACACATAAAACTCTGATTTATGTTCAAAATGAAATACTTATTTGTAAATCATTCTTTGCGTGTGTGTGTGTAACACAGCTCTGGTAAACTATTTACAAGGTCTTTTCAAATTAGAGAAATGGTTATGGCTTCACTAGAATAGATAACATGTAATATAAACATAACATCTGCACCATAAACAAGTATATTAATAAAAATTAGGAAACTTCTCATGATAACCACAGTTTGAACTCTATCTCCAATTCCACGATTTGGGAATACATTGTCTTTACTGCGAAACTACGCGATCACTGCGATCTGTGAATACAAAGCCACGCCTTTACTACAATCAGTGAATAACAAAGCCACACCTTTACTACAATCAGTGAATACAAAGCCACACCTTTACTACAATCAGTGAATAAGGGAACTCCTGGACCTAGGCTGTCAACAACTTTATAACCCTAGGGAACTCCTGGACCTAGACTGTCAACAACTTTATAACCCTAGGGAACTCCTGGACCTAGGCTGTCAACAATTTTATAACCCTAGGCAGGGTTTCATTGATATGTTCATTAGTTTTTGCGATCATGTAGTAAACAGGAAACATCATAATTATGTTCAAACACCATTGTGTTTATGTACTGTTTAATAATGTACATCTGTCTGGTCATGTTCTTCTGACTTGTGGTGTCACGTTTTATTTGGATCAGTAATAAATGTGAAATTAACGTGTTTTTGTACAAATTGTTAGATGATATACTTAACGACTTTAATTTGTAATGTATCTTTTTAAACATTTCGAAAAGGCTGACGAAAAGCAGTGGTTTATTTTAATTCAAATTTGTTTTCGTTGTTTATTTTACATCCTGAATACAATTAATCGTCCAACGTCGCACACGACGTAAGTTGCTCTTTTCTTTTTTTTTTTTACGTTAGTTAAATCAAAGTATCCATGGAGATTGGTAATGAGTGACTCGGATAAATAGTAAGATGAATTCGTATCCATGTGCATTATATTTATGTATATTTAATATGTATAGGAACCTATTGAAGCGAGAGTGTCTAGCTGGAGTTTTAATCTACTACAACCTCGCATTCAGTGAAGTGTAAATAGCTGAATATGAGTTTCAAATGAAGAATCAGCGGTTTACGTGATTCTTATCACGAACGTTAGATCTATTAGTTTCAAATGTTTCGCCATCTTTCGGCGTTTAAATTGTAACTATTAAAGTCTGATACTGCATATATAAAGAGTGAATTTGGTAATCAACAAAGGCCTCTTGGGCCAGTGACATGTGGGAAACAAAATATGTATATCTGAAATGCTGTTTTTAAACACCTGTGATTTGGAATGCACAAATTAACAGAAATGTGAAGGGGGTTCATAAATATTAGGCTTAGTCAATTTCTGAGATTTAAACCGTAAGTATGGGAGTCATAACTCGTTATAATTATTCCAGTATTTTATTATCAACGTACCAGTTGGAAGCCGGATTGAGTGTTTTATACGTGTAGAATTCTGCATTATTATGGTCTCAATCATTTCGAGCATCACTGGTATACCTCGATGAGCAAGAAATGTTTTCTGTAGCAAGATAGAAAGTAGCATGAGCTAATGTAAATATTGTGTTAGGACTGTTTATTACAGTCAAAAGTATAGAAATTAGAGAGTAACTTTAATATTGTAGAAATACCCATGTAACACTTGTATCTGTTAAACAATTGTGCAAGAATCTTAATACCGAGTTCGTGAAATTTTAAAAACACAAGTTTTGTCTGAGGTGTCATTAATAAACAACTATTATAGCGACATCTTTTACTGGTCAAATTGTTTTTTATTGTTCTGTAAGAAGAAGAATCCAAAGTAAAATCCATTGATTATAACGAAAGCGTTTTATTTCACTGATTACTAGTACAACAAGTTCCGCTTAGCTATCGATAGGCCTAACTCCACAAGTAACAATAAACAGTCACTCACTCCTCACTTATGTGTGGTACTTCTAGTTTAGCTATTACTACTTCGTTGAAAAAAAACAGACTCAAAATTTAAAGCGACAATCTAACTGACTCGATAAGCAATCAACGATCTGCTCTTCAGAAAAAAGACCACAAGACGTGGGAAAACACTGAAAGAAATATTGGAAAAACTTAAAACACACGTCAACAACAAAAACGTGTTTTATTTGCTACTTTTTGATGTATATCCTTCCCTAGACCTAGCTGCTACAAATATACAATATAAATAACCTTCAGTTTTTCTATAAATACAAATTATACCTTTAGAAAAATCACAGGAAACAGCGTCTGGTGGCCGGAAACTGTAACAATCAATAAGAGATGCTTATTTGAACAGTCCCTCACATGTCTATGTTAGGTTTTATGTAAATTCGTGGGTCCAGCCCTGAACAGTTGTGTATATGTTAATATTAATTTTAAAGTAATTCCGTCCAGTTAAACCCAAGACCCTCAAAACCTCTTTGATCCCCTATTTTTAGGGTCATCCATGAATCTTTCCAAAAGCATTTCTTCATGTGTGTTTCGTGAAGGTCTGAGTGTACATCTAATAATAATATTTCAAATTGTTTTGTCAGATATTTTGAGAAGAGTTCAAAAATCAAGTAAACATACGGACGTAAATAGGTGCAATTGAAAATTGGTTCATATATAAATATTAGTGATAAAACATATTACAAACTTAAGATACGAGCTTCAAAAAATTTAACCGTTATTAATATAACGTAACATATATATATATATATATTTATGCATGCACATATTTTGCGGTATAGGCTGTCAGTAAATACATGTAGTGTAGGCTTAACTTAAAATCTGCATAGAATTTACTCCATTACAAACATTATATAGAATATTTCTCGTTTATGGGAGAGTGTTATGCTTGTTAATTATTTAATATTCAGCACCAGTTTATAACTAAAGTAGGAACAAGTATGACATTAATCACTGTTCCTCACGTTTCCGCAAATCTCTACAAACCGTGTCGGAGTAGATACGCTTGGATACTTAACTAGGCCTAACACTCTTATATGATGTGCGTGAATGAAAAATAACAAAACGTTGGTATAGTTGTATTTTTTTTTAGCTACATATTAAAAAGTATATATCAGCGATGTTTTATCATTTTTCTACAATTCTTCGGGCAGAGTCTTTGTGGCGAAGTAATGTGTCGATTATCAGATAATCTGAAAAATGTAATTTTTGAACCAAACATTATTGTCGCTTCAGTACCAGAGTTTCCAAGTCATCCCATGAGTTCGGATACGCATTTAATTTCGTTGGATCGTCGGTATGATTTGATTGGATCAGTATGGCTACAATATTTTTCTTCTCCATTAGGCAATAAATAAATAAATAAAATTTTAAATGCTCTTGCACATTTTGCAGTGTTATTAAACCAAGGCTACATTATCATACAGTCTCAATTTACGAGGCGTTTGAACAATTTTAACATTTGTCGTGATAAGTTTAGTTACAGGTATTGAAACAGTTTAATATATTTTCGGTTTCGTCGTTTAATCGATTTTAATACATACCTATGTTTGAAACCTGAAACAAAAACGATTTTCAACATTTTCAGTTTTATCCTCGTTCGTGTGGTCTAGTGGTTAGATTAACTTACGAAATTGTGAATCTGTGGGTTCTTGGTTCGCGTCCCATTGCCACAGAAACCTGTTCCGCACTTACAGACCATGGATGCTTTATAAAAGTGACAGTCATGTCTCACTACTCGATCAAACAGTAGTAATCCGACAGTTGGCGGTGGATGCTGTTTACTAGCTGTCTTCTCCTTGGTCTATTAACCTATAATCAGGAAGGACTAACACAGATAGCCCTTGGTTAACTTCCGTAACAAACAAGTAGACTGCCGATTCACTCAAGAGCTGTTATTTTCTGGTAGGTGCTGGAAAATACGATAAAACTGTAGCGTGGATACGCAGTCACCCAGTACCTCCTCCCCTCCTCCAATACTGTGAAGGGCTGATGGCACTCGCCCAAGGCTGTTAGCCTAGTAGAAGTCTGGGGTTTTCAAGGGGACCCTAGATTTTTTTTTAAAAAGGTGATCAGAAAATGCATCTGAGATATATTTTCTACTGTGACGAAGATAGTGTAAATAAAACATACTGTATGTTGTTGTGTATCATAATCTAACTTCTACATCGTACAATACTATCCTAAAATACTTGTAGTCAACCAGTTATCAGTCTCACAGTATCCAGCGTAGATCTTAAAACAATGTAGCACTGTTTACTAATACTGTTGTTATTACAGCATAAAATGGGAAGTATTGTCCAATTTTTAGGCCCTAATGTACCATGAATCCAAAACTGCACTACAGGACTATTTTCTTAGGCGTGTGAATCATGTTCAAAAATCCGCTTTACTGTTTCGAGGGGACGAATGGTGTTACGTTTCAGCTGGTGACGTCACTTTCTGAAAGATCGCCATGTGCTTGAGAATCAATTCACAGTGTGGTGCAGGGAAGAGTAATAAATACGATATTTAAAGATCTGTGAGTCAGAAAAACATTACAGACTTCAGTTAGTAATTTTTGTAAACGTCGTATGGAGCCACAAAGAAAGTAAGTCACTGCACATGCGGTTCCTTAGCAACGAAGAAATGTTGACCCTTTCAGTAGGTGTTTAGGAATGGATAGAAAGTTACTTATTTTAAATGTTCAGACTGGAAATTTATCTGTATATTTACTTAAGTATAAATATCAGTATACGAAATTGTATTTAGATATTTGGTTACTGAAAGTAAAATTTTATAAATAATTACCCGCATCATAAGGTTTATGTTAAGTAACGGAATACCATTGATACAATTAATTGTGCCTGTGAATTTGTGTAGTCAATTCTTATGTTGTATAGTCTGTACAGGCTTGGTAATGGAATTGATAGTAAAAAACTTGTGATTATGTGTTCATGGATCGCAGTAAAAGTGTGGCTTTGTATTCATTGATTGTAGTAAAGGCGTGGCTTTGTATTCACTGATTGTAGTAAAGGTGTGGCTTTGTATTCACTGATTGTAGTAAAGGTGTGGCTTTGTATTCACTAATCGTAGTAAAGGTGTGGCTTTGAGGGTTATAAAGTTGTTGACAGTCTAGGTCCAGGAGTTCCCTAGGGTTATAAAGTTGTTGACAGCCTAGGTCCAGGAGTTCCCTAGGGTATATTGAGTATTGGGAACAAGGAGACATTTAACATATATTGGGTATTGATGAGAAGGGGACATTTGACATATATTGAATATTGGGAACAAGGTGACATTTAACATATATATTGGGTATTGGGAACAAGGAGACATTTAACATATATTGAGTATTGGAAACAAGGAGACGACATTTAACATATATTGAATATTGGGAACAAGGAGACATTTAACAAGAATTGAATATTGGGAAGAGGGGCAAGTAACATTTAAATTTCGAGTATTAGACAGAGAAAATGGACATACTTATGTATTGTGAATGGTGGGGAGATTGGTCATTTTACAAATATTATTAGCACTGGAGAAATAACATGAATAGATATTGTGAGTTACCTGTAGCTGATTAGAATTTTTGAACTTAACATTTGTATAATTTGTACATATTAAGTTTAAATAATATCACAACTTTACGATCAATAAGGTCGTAAAGTTGTGATATTATTTAAACTTACCAGACGTTTCTTCTCGTGAAATATCTAGTTCAGGCCATGTAGTATCCACGTGATCGACCAAGTTTGTATTAATAAGACATCTCTTCGTAATATACATGTCGGCTACCTTAAGATTTTTTAATCAAGATATTGCAAGATGAAACATCTTAACTCTTCTTCCGATCATATTATAACTATTTTTATTATGTTTAAAAACACAAGTTCTAGTGATCAGTTTTATATTTGTGTTTTACGTATCAACTTTTAGTATTTCATGAATTACTAATAGGTCCGCGTTATCGTTAAGATTGCAGAACACCATTACTGAAACGCGTGTATGTAAATGCCAGTGTTGGATAGTAATCTTTGTTACACAAGTTTATATGTAGTTGCTTTTTTTTCTTACATTGAGCTAGTTTGAGAACACTGTAACCATTTCTTAATTACACTGGGAGAAATTACTCGACATGACGTCCGAACAGAGTAATCGGGTTCGGGATTAGTCTGTCATCACAACGAGAGAGGAGCATACATTACAGGAAATGCATTGTCTGATAGTTTTGCAAAAAGTCACTGACTGATACACATTTTTGGAAAATAATGGGTTTCAGTAAGCAACCCTGTTTTTTTTTATGTTTTTTTTTTCTATTACCAAACCAACTCGACTCGCTGTATTGGTTTCAGTCGACACTTGGCAATTTGCCAGCACGTTATCGATTAGATCTTAGATCTCTTTGTTGCCAAGACGTCAGTAAAATAACGATCAAAATACTTCCCATATATGATTGAAAATATCTTTTAAAAACATTGTCAGCATTAAAACTTTAAATTTCCTTTTTTTCCCTTTCGAGGTACATATTACACAGACGAAAAATTCGGTGCTCTTCGTGAACATAGCCATGGCGGTAACATATCTTGCTTCCATTAGATGTAACAATTCTACTCAAGTTCCAGAACACGGGTATTATACAGTAGCCTTGAAAACAGACCCACTAAAGTTTGGAAACAAAACCCTGGAGGTTACAGATCTTGTTCTGGAGACTGTGAACAAATGTGGAGGTAGACGTCGATTCACTTACTGTTATTAAACTATTAAAAACACTTTACGTCATGCTGTTTGTTATGTAAATTAATAATGGAAGACTGGTTTGGAAAAGACCGTAGGAACTCCTGGACCTAGGCTGTCAACAATTTTATAATATTGAGTATTGGGAACAAGGAGACATTTAACATATGTTAAATGTCTCCTTGTTCCCAATACTCAATATTTGTTAAATGTCTCCTTGTTCCCAATATTCAATATATGTTAAATGTCTTCTTGTTCCCAATACCTAATATATGTCAAATGTCTCCTTGTTCCCAATACTCAATATATGTTAAATGTCTCCTTGTTCCCAATACTCAATATTTGTTAAATGTCTCCTTGTTCCCAATACTCAATATATGTTAAATGTCTCCTTGTTCCCAATATTCAATATATGTTAAATGTCTCCTTGTTCCCAATATTCAATATATGTTAAATGTCTCCTTGTTCCCAATACCTAATATTTGTTAAATGTCTCCTTGTTCCCAATACTCAATATTTGTTAAATGTCTCCTTGTTCCC